GAGACAGTAGAGTGTAGACACCTGGGGGACTCGCTCTGTTGAGACAGTAGAGTGTAGACACCTGGGGGAGCCACTTTGTCAGACACCGGGGACCCACTTTGTCGTCTGCCTCGAGAGTCTCTTCATCACGTGGTCTGGCGCCAAGCCCAGGCCTGTCCATGATAGGAGTGTCTCAGGGCGACACAGCACTGTGCAGCATGCTCCCGGGGCCCTGGCCGTGCTGCAGGTAAGCATTTCCTTGGAGCCGAGAGGTTGGCAGGTCAGATGTGCCAGCCTCTCCTCAGGAAGAAGCCCAGGTGATCTGCCCCATGGATGTGATGGTCTTGGAAGCCCGAGGGGCCATTCTGCTCCACCCTCCAGGGCCTCCTTTGTGCCGGAATCCAGTGAGGACAGGAAGCTTGCGTCGCATCCACATGAGACTCATGGGAAATTCCCACCTCATCGGCGCAGGGCGACTGACCAGGCTGAATTGGGTCCTGATGGGATAACATGGAACCCAGGGGGAGCTGGCGGACTCCCCCCCACAGCAGTGAGAGCACAGTGGAGGGACCCAGAACCTGGTCTCCCACCCACAGGGCTGCCTCCGACCGTGGTCCAAACAGGCTTCTGGTTCACACGGTCTTTGTGGGGGGCCTTCTGGAAGAACCCCAGGATGGATCAGGGCAGGCTGTCATGAGGAGGGCGGGGGCCATCCCAGGAGGTGACTCTGACTGTCTCTCCACAGGAGCTCTGTGCGTCTGCTGATCCGGAAAGTACAGCACGCTCCCAAGGACATGGGCATCCAGCCCCGGGCTGAGGCAGCCTGGCAGTTCTTCATGTCGGACAAGCCTCTGCACGTGGCCGTGGTCCTCAGCAAGGAGGTAACCATGACCCAGGCCAATGCCAAGCACCTGAGGAGCCAGGCCGGGGGCCACTCTCTTCACAGCCTCCGCTGGTGACTCGCAGTCCTGTGTCTAGGGCAGGGTCAAGTCCCAACGCCGGCCAGCAAGGGCTGTCTTCAGAACTTGCAGTAGGATCTCCGGGACACTGTCAGTAACCCCACTTGGTCCTGCTCACTGACAGTCTGAGGGCAAGACAGGGTGGCATTCCCACATAGCGACCTGCTAAAAGCCCCCCATCTTCGACCCCCCTGCCCAGCCATGGAGACCCTGCAGCCCCAATAAACCCCTCAGTCACCCTCAACCCCCGGTGACCCTGCCTGCATCCGCGTCGAAGGATGCTCCGTTTCATGCCAAGGGCTGATGGCTCAGTAGTAGATTGCCAGGCCTTTCTTCTGAGGCGCCCCGGGTGACCTCAAACTTCCAAGCTCTCAGTGAACAGCTGAGCACCATCTCACCCGCGGGCACCGCCCTGGGGTCTCAGCATCAGCAGGCAGGGGCTTTACCAAGAGCTTGTTTCCATAGAAGCTGCACAGGCAGGTGGGTCGCATTGAAGGCTCCCTCTGCGACGGGCCGTGGTGGAGAAAGGGGAAGAACCCCGGGTCCGGGTGCCCCAGAGCGTGCTCTGGAGACTTCTCTAGAAGAGATGTGTTCCTCCCCCTTCACCCTGGGTGTCAGCCCGGGGAAGCCTTCGTGAATGGGACCCGAGGAAGATGGTGAAGGATTGAGAAGGCCCCACCGCGCCAAGCCCCTCCTTGCCTGACTCGCGGCTCACTCTTTTCAGATCTTTTTCCACGGGGAGCCCATCCCAGTGACCATGACAGTCACCAACAACACCGAGAAGACCGTCAAGAAGATCAAAGTGTTAGGTAAGACCGTCCTCCCCAAGGTGGAGGGGGCGTCCTCGGGAGTCCGTCTGGCCACTTCTGGGGTCGGCCGCCATGGACAGCTGGCCTTTGGAGGGACAAGGACCGCACCACTCCCGTGGCTCCCAACACCCAGCCCAGTCGATCGCCAGAGGCCGTGAAATTGATTCCAACGCATGGCGGTCCCATGTGTCGCAACAAAACTGTTAGCCGTGTGGCTCTGCAGGGCTCATTGAGGGGGGATCACCAGACCTGCTTCCCGGTGGGCTAAGACCCTCACCCCTGCCCAGCTTTGGAACCACTTCCAATTTGGACAGCGTCCCTGGTGGGCATTCTTCCTGTTTCCCCACCCTCCTGCCTCCTGGGACAGGGGAGTGCGGTGGGGGACCTGACCCTGGGGAGGCCATGGGGCTTCTCTTCTGGGGTCCAGGATGCATTTCATTTTCAGAGTGGTGTAGCAGGAGGAAGGACAAGATTCTGGGCCCCAGGGCTTCCTGGGGGCCAGGCCTTTGGAAGTGCCGAGGCCCAGCCGCAGGGGAGACTTCAGATCTCATACCCCCTGAGTGGATGTGCTTTGGGCAGGGGGAGTGGTCACGCGGGGCCTGAGCCAGCAGGAGCAGGGGACTCAGCCTAGCGGGTCGGACGGCAGCGAAGAGGGAAGGTGCCTCCTGCTGGCTGTTCCTACACAGTCCCTCCTCGTGAAGGCTGTCGACATGCACGAGCTGCTGGGCCGATGCAAGTCCGTGCCAACTCACAGCGACCGACAGTGACCGATAGAGTGGGCCTGCCCCCAGAGGGGCTCAGCATTGCCGTCTTTGTGACCAGGGCTTGTCACGTTGTTTTTCTGAGGTTTGAATCTCTGACCTTGTGGTTACGCAGTGAGGTGCCTAACCACTGTGCTACCGGGGCTGAGAGGGCAGCCGAGTGCAGGCATGGTCTTCCATGATGCAGTGGACTGACCTGGGAGGGGCCTCTAGGCCCATATGGAATGGCCAGCACAATGCCTTAGGGTCTTACATGAAAAACAAAAACACCGAAACCAACCCCAAAACCCCCTCTCTCTCCTTGAGTCCCTTTTAACCCACAGCGACCCCAGAGGACACATTGGAATGGCCCCTGTGGGTTTTTAACTCTTTACCTCTATGGGAGTAGAAAGCCTCATCTTGCTCCCTCACAGTGGCCCGTGGCTTCCAGTTGTTGGCCCTGCTGCGTTAGCAGCCGCCACCCGCAGGGCTCCTCGCATCTGGTGTTGTTGTTGTTGTTGTAGTTGTGTGCCGTACAGTCCGTTCTGGCTCCTGGCAACCCTGCCTCGTGCTCCCCATTGGTCTTATGCTTCCGCCCATTGCCGCAGCCGCTATGTCCGGCCATCTCAGCGAGGCCTTCCCCCTTTCTACTGCCCCTCCACTGTCCCAAGATGCTGTCCTTCTCCAGGGACTGGTCTCTCCTGACAACATGTCCAAAGTATGAACGAAATGAAGTCTCCCCATCCTTGCCTCTAAGACAGCCTCCTGGCTGCGCTGCTTCCAGGATAGGCTTGTTTGTCCAGAATAACGTCCCAGGGGACCAGCTAGCTGTCTCCGTCTGCCCGGGCCTGAGACTTTCCAGGAGGTGGGAGGGTTGAGACTCAAGTAGGGATGGTAAGACAGGCGGTCACCGTGGGTGCTATCCGGAACCCCTCCTTCCTTGCCGTGCACCCACCATAGACAAGGTGGGAGGATTTGGATGCACAGGTACAGAACATTCTAGATTTTCTTACTGCTAATAAAAACCCAAACCAAATCCAGTGCCGTGAAGTCTGTTCAGGCTCCTGGTGACCCCTGTGTTGAGGAGCAGAATGGCTCCTAGGGGTTTTCTTTATGGTAGGGGGTCACCAGGCCTTTCCACCCTGGCGCTGCGGGGGGCATGTACCACCTCCTGTTTCTAGCTGAACACAGACCACTCGTGCCCCCTGGCAACAGGGGCCTCACTGGGAGAGACAGGGCTTTCTACTCTCAAAAAGAGTTAGAGACTCAGAAACTCACCAGGGTGGGGAGTGGTCCACCTTGTTCTACAGCAGCGGTTCTCAACCTGTGGGTCGCGACCCCTTTGTGGGGTCGAACAACCCTTTCACAGGGTCACCCAATTCATAATAGTAGCAACATGACAGTGATGAAGTAGCAGCAAAATAATTTTATGGTTGGGAGTCACCACCACAGGAGGACCTGTATGAAAAGGTCGTGGTGTGAGGAAGGGTGAGGACCACTGCTCTATGGGGTCACCATGGGGTGGCATCGACTCAGTGGCTCTGAGTTTGGTTAGGGACCTCATGGGACTCTTAGCTTGATCACAGTGGTCTTGTTCTGTGTTCATCTAATGTGTACGCCTTCAGGACTGTGTGTGGTTGTGGGGTGTTGTTGGGTGGCTCCTAACTCCCAGTGGTCCCCGTACAACGGGCAGTAGTGCTGTCCAGCCCTCCGTCTTTGTTGGGCCTGCAGTGATGGAGCTGCCTGCTGCCTGTCATGCTCAATAAAGCAATCCACAGGGGGGGGGTGCTGATATAGGGACATTGGGTGAAAAATGATCTCTGGAAGTCTAATGAATCCTGACTTCAAAGCACCCCCCTCCCACTCGGTAAAAACAATGGGTTGGATTTCTGAAACAGAATGTTACATGTTTCCATAGGCAGGACACCTGAGTTCTGCTCACCAACGGATCCCTTTCACCCTCAAGCTTGGTTGTAAATAGCAAGGCCATCATTTTAATCCTCGCAGAACCCCGTGTTAGAGGCAATTATCATTCTCATTTGCCTGACGGGGAACCTGAGGCTGCGAGGAGCCAGATCCCTCCACCCCACAATTCACAGCTGAACTACAAGTTGGCATCCACACCGTGGCACACAGCCACAATGACTACTGGCCCTGGAGTTCCTGGCTGGTGCAAACGGGCCCTGAGACATATTCACACGGACAAGACAACCGCAGTGTTTCTAGTGTGATCTTCACACGGACAAGACAGGTCCCCTCCGACACATGGGGTCCCCGTGGGTCAGAGGTCACTGACAGCATCTGCTGTTACTGGGGGTCCAGCCGCATCCTTCCCCCCCCACCCCCCTGCTCCACCCAGGCACCAGACCTATTGGGCTTCCAGATGTTCCGAGCTTGGGGAACTGGAAGGTGGTTCAATAAGACCGAGGGTCATGGGAGGAGGCAGAGTTTGGGGTACAGAGAAGGGTGCCCAGGGATGTCTGATGGATCAGCTCAGCGGGGAGAAGAAGCTATGGATCATGGACGGGAGCCCGCCCCGCCCCGCCTCACCCCACCCCTCCCTCCTTTGCAGTGGAGCAGGTGGCCAACGTGGTCCTCTACTCCAGCGACTACTACGTCAAGCCCGTGGCCACGGAGGAAGCTCAGTGAGTAATGGCGCGCACTTCTGCACCGGGGGTGACTTCCGGTCCGGTTCCCCACTCCGTGGACCCCTGATGCGGAAGCGGGAAGCCCAGCTGCCCCGCCTGCTCCTTCCCACTCGGAGGGCTGCTGTGGAAGTTAGCATCTCCACCTGCCACCCGAGAGGTCCGGAAGGAGGAGAGGCAGGAACAGAGGGCAACGTTGCCATGGCCATGGCGGTGCCTTCTGACAGTTTATTCTCAGAGTGAAGCGTCAGGAACCTTTATTCTGAAATAGCTCACCATCTTGTGTTGCCCTGCACGCAGCACACGGACCTCAGCTCGGCAGTTACTGCACGTGCAGTTGTGTGTCTGTTCTCACGCTCTGCGTGATCGGGTGCCGAGGCTGCTGCAGGAGAAGTACCACGAGGGGTGGCTTTCACAAACAGAGGCTGATTTTCTCACAGTGGAGGAGGCCGGACGTCCCCAGTCAGGGCCTTGGCACGGGGGAAGGCTCTGCTTTTGGCTCTGGAGGAAGATCATTGTCCCTTCAGCTTCCTTGTGGGGTTAAGGGGAAGAGGGAACCCCACAAAACATCACAGGTTCGGTAGGCGCAATTGTACAGCGATAATAAGTAGAGGTTATAGTAAAGTCATAGAGAGCATGAGAGTTAAAGGATAGAGTCAAGTAATGGAGTCAGACGCAATTCATGGTAGCATAGCTCACCTCAGCCAGGCTTGATGGTCCTCGTGGAGGGGGCTTAGCCGTCAGAGAAGAAGCCGCTGCTTCGTCCTCCTTAGTCACCTTCTCCAGCCACCCTCCCGAGAACCAGGGAGCCTCCTTATTTATTGCTAACCACGCATCATAGAGTCATACATCACAGAAAGGGGCAATACAATTCGTTCTAGAACAAGTTTGATCACTCTAATGTCTCATATAATAAAACAGACAATTACTATTCTGGGAGGCATGCAAGTTCCCTGATAGTGGACAATAACCTGAGTCACCAGGAGGGGTATTAACATAGGGGTAGTAACATAGGCAATACAATCAATAGGAGGGGAATCACCTAGGGGTGTGCCCACATTGGTTGTGGAATAAACAGTGGTGTCTGCTTGATATAGACAGCTGATAATGACTATCTAACCTTGGTCACCCTTGGGCGGGTTTGCCCTCTCTGGTATCTCCTGCAAGTGAACAGACCACCATTATCCTTATCAGAAGGGAGTGGGTCTTATTTAGGGTGAGTCAGACTAATAGTCTAGCCACTATAGATGGCCAATGTTAAGGAGAATAACCTCTGACCTACTTTCGCTGATCACCTATTGTACAGTCACTCTTAAGCAGCTAAGTCTGGTACATATTTTGGGGAGACAAGAGAAATCCTTCTGTTCCCTACACTTCCTTGTCTCTTCCTGGATCCGTGGAGATTTCCACGTGGCTGAGCTTCTCTCCGATCCCATCCCGGCCTGCTCTTTGGCTAGTTTAACCTCTTTTATATCTCAGGAGATTGTTTTAAAACACAAGGACACACATGCTGCCTCATTAGCATAACAAAGCCAACCTCTCCCCAAATGTAATGATAGCCACAGATGTAACAAGACCCAAACTCACTGTCACCGAGTCCATCCTGACTCCGTGTGACCCTGTAGGACAGAGCAGAGCTGCACCATCGAGTTTCTGAGGCTGGAAATCTTTACAGAAGCAGACTGCGTCATCTCGTCCCCTCATCGTGGCTCGTGGGTTCACACCAACCTTTCCGCTGCCAGACCGATGCTTAACCTACCATGCTGTTGTTGGGAGGTGCGGTCGGGTTGTCGTGGCAACCCTAGGGACACCAGCAGGAAACACTGTCCAGTCTTGCTCCGTCCTCACACTTAGTCTATGTTTGAGCCCATCGTGGTGGCCATCCATCGTTCAACGGCCTTCCTCTTTGTCGCTGCCCCTCTGCTTTGCCAAGCGTGATGTCCTCCTCCAGGGACTGGTCTCTCCTGACAACGTGTCCAAAGTTCGTGGGACAAAGTCTCACCATCCTTGCTTCTAAGGAGCACTCTGGCTGTACCACTTCTAAGACAGATGTGTTCGTTCCTTTGGCGGCCTGCGGTACTTTCGGTATTCTTCACAAGCACCCCATTCAAATGCATAGAACCTTCTTGGACCTTCCTTAATTCAAAGCCCACCTTTCCCATGCATAGCAGGCGGTTGAAAATACAATGGCTTGGGTCAGGTGCACTTTAGTCCCCAGAGTGCTACCCATATGTGTAGAGTGACTATGAGTGCTACCATAGGGTTTAGGATTTACAACATTTCTTTTGGATTGACAACATTTCTCGTGGCATCACAGTTCTTCGCAACAGGAGCACTCTACTCTGGTCTTGTTGCTGGGGTGACCAGTGACCAGAGGCCTCTGGAGGCCACTCTGGAGGAGACAGGGTGTGGCTCTCTGCTCCCTGGGCTGGTTGGCCCCATTGAACCCCATGGGATATTCTGGAAACCCAGTGGTTCCAAGCAGGCTTCAGTGTTAAGAAGACTGTCCCCGTGTTGGTGCCAGCCTGCTCTGAGATTTCACAAATCCTGTCCTGCTTCTTGTAAGGCAGATCCATAGACCCCCCTAGCTCACCTTTTCAGTAAGATCCAGGGGCCTTGGGTCCTGCAAACATGCTCTAGGAGGACTCGGGCCTCATGGCGTTGGTGGAAGCTTTTGCATTTCTCGGTTTCAGTGAACCAATTCTCAACTCTGTTTTTCTTCCTCCAGAGAGAAAGTGCCCCCAAATAGCACTTTTACCAAGACCATAACCCTGGTGCCGCTCCTGGCGAACAACCGGGAGAGGCGGGGAATCGCTCTGGATGGGAAGATCAAGCACGAGGACACAAACCTGGCCTCCAGCACCATGTGAGTGCCCGGCTCGCCCCACAGTGGGCGCCACACTGGCCTGCTGCCCTGTCTTGTCTCTCTCCGTGGGCTCAGAAGCATGATGGCCTGGCTCAGTCTGGGCGCTCTAGAGAAACATAACCCGTGAAGCGCCTAGCTCAAGGGAATGGTTCACCCCCTGGTAGAGGCTGGCAAGTTCCAAATATGTAGGGTGGAGGTCAGGCTGAAGGTTTCTCCCGACTCATGCAGCTGCCAGGACTCATCAACCCAAGACTGGCAGGTCAGACGACTGCAGGGGTGAGCGAATCCCAGATTGGCTGCTGATGACCCCACGATTAGCAGGCAACGTGGCCAGCCACTGGCTGAAGTGCTAAAAATCAGAGGTCAGATACCAAGCCAGATACAGGCTGGCAAAAAGCAAGCACGCTTTGCCCGAGGGTCTACAAATGTTGGAATCAGGCAACACTCCCAAGGAAATTCCCTTTCAGTTGATTGGCTGCTCATGGCAGGGCTGTCATAGAAGTGGTTACATTGTAATAGATCTTATCAGAGGCGATGACTGCACTGAGAACTCTGGCCAGCCAAGTTGACACAACTGCATCACAAGCCCTGATAAGGACCCAACTCCCACCCCAGCACGATAAGCTCATCATAACTGCGCAAGTTTGTTATAAGGCTGTCTCCAGGGTCCACAGTACTTTGCCAAGGGTTGTGCAGAAGGTCAGTTAATGGTCAGTTAATGGGCAAGCAAAATCTACTCCTGACCATGACCTTGTGCTTTTTGCTCATCCCTCAACTTCAGGGCTGCCTTCCAGGGCCCTCAGATGGAACAACTGCTGGAGGAACGTGTGTGGGGTGTGTGTGTGTGTGTGTGTGTGTGTCTGTGTATGTGGTGTGACACACACACACACAGAGAGAGAATATCTTCCAGTCAAGGAAGGTCACAGGATGAAAGCTGGCAGGACACCTCAGCTTGGGTCAAAGCCACATTCAGTCCCCAGCTTCTGTTTGGGCAAAGGAGTAGAGTTTCAGGCTTGGATCCTCCTTCCTCCCCACCTCTGTTGGCTGGTCACAGCCACTCTCCAGATTGTGTTTGGCTGCCTCCCACAGTTCCAGACAAAGGACACTTGGCTCCCTGGAAAAGAGCTGTCTGGTGAGGCAGGGGCATGGTGGCCCAGTGGGCTGGCACCCTGGCTGGGGGTCTTCTCCTGCACCCAGACCTTCCTGCTGTGACTCAGAAGCTCCATCTCAGCCGCCCTATCCACCTTCTGCCCGCAGCCTCCCGGGCTAGGTTCCGCCATTATTCATGCAGCTTAGCTAGCAATGGGAGTGCCCACTGTGGGCTGTCCTGCCAGGTTCAAGCCCCCCCCCCTGCTCGATCACGTGACGCAGTAATCTAGAAGGTGCCTTGCACGGTACCTGTCACCAGTAGGAGCTCTGTGAAGAGTCTGCCGAGGAAATCACCTGTGAGACTGCGCCGTCTCTGAGACCCAGTGGCTCTCCATTCAGACACGTAAACCCTCATGGAGGTCTCGCTCGGTGCCAGCGGAGATGCTGAGGGCTGGGGACACGGAGCTGTGGGGACAAAGGCAGGTCCACTCACCACGGGGATGGGGGCGGGGAGGAAGAGAAGGAAGGAGCATCATGCCCCACTGATCTTCCAGAGCAGAAACACCAGCTACGAGGCACCAAAAGCCCTTCTCCCCCGCCCCACATCCACCCAGCTCAAGGGTTCTTAGGGTTCTCCGTTTCCCAGGAAGAGCCCCCCACGAGGGCAGGCCTGGACGGGAGCAGAAAGGACGCTCCTTGTGTCCTTGGTGACTGCCACTGCCCCTTTTCTTCTCCTTGTCTCTGCAGCCTCAAGGAGGGCATAGACCGGACCGTCATGGGGATCCTGGTGTCCTACCAGATCAAGGTGAAGCTCACGGTGTCAGGGTGAGTGCCCCCGTCCCCACAGCCACCTGCTCTGTCTTGACCTGTGACATCCGAGCTATCCCAGTTCTGAAGGCTTGGGAGACAGGAAGAGAAGGCCCACGTCATCTCTTGCTGGACAGAGTTCGGGAGAGACCGTGTTCGTGTGGTTTCCCGGCTCTGTCTGATGACCTGCTAAGCGGGAAAAGGTGGAGAGGCTGTCCGTGAAATGTGGGCCTTGGGGGCATGACACTGCCCTCCAGCACATGCATAGCTGTGGGCCTGCTGGTGGTGCGGCAGGTGCATGCTCAGCTGCTGAGGGTCGAACCTGTCAGCTGCTCAGATGTGGTGGTCTGCTCCTGTGAATATTTATAGCCTTGGAAAACCTCTGGCCGGGTTCTGCTCTGTCCTGCTGGGTCACTGTGAGTGGCATATAGGCCATGGCCACGGGCAATAGCAGGGGGACACACAAGCAGTGGGACTTGATGTGCAAAGACAGAAGTCGGTAGGATGTGGCATTGTCTTTGGGTTGGGTAGGGGGGCAACTGTCATTCAGTGGAGCCTGCTGAGGCATCTGTCCCTAAGGGAAGAGCCTCCTCCCCTTCACTCTGTGCACCCTGCATCCACAGACATTCAGAATCTTCTATTTATTTTTTTTAAAGTAAAACATTTTATTGGAAATCTCTTTGAATACATTTTAAGTGTCAGCTCAGTATTTCCAAACAGGGTGGTCTAGAGAAGGGGGGCTGCCACCTGCGAACAGTTGTCTGGCCCAGCTGCTGCAGGAGCTGGTCTGTGCTCCCCCCAGATGCAGCTGGGGTCAGGATACTGCTTCCCGGACAGCTGTTGCCTATAGAGGCCAACAGCTGGGAGCCGGAGGGGGCTGTCGGGAAGCGGGCACAGGGCTTTCCATGCAAGGCCTCAGAGAGCTGAGCTGGGGGCCGTCAGTAACTTGTCAGGGGTGAATGTGGGTTGGTCTAGCAGGCCCAGGGACGGCCACGTCAGGACGTGGCCTGACCCCAGGGCAGTCGGACAGCGTAGCTGGGGCGTTTCTTTGTGGCAGAGTGCCTGTGCTGGGCCTGACTCAGCCCCACCGGCCTGGAGGTCAGCCCCGCAGGTGGGAGGGAATCTATTATTCAGGGAGACCTCCCCACCCCGGAGTCAGGAGGGAATGGCTCTCCAGTGTGGGGTGGGAGAACATTTCCCATTTCTTTAGCCTCATCAGAAGAGAGGAGAATCTCGGCTTCTGGCTCCCTGTGTCCAAATCCCATTGGAAAACGGCTCTGGCTTTGGACCCGTTCGGCCATTAAAGGCTCGGCCCCCCACAAGCCCAGGTTGCTGGGCCCTTTGGGAGTTGCTCGGATTTGGGGTGGGGCCATCCTGCCCATGAGTCGAGTTTATCAGAATGCAGGGTGCTTTCCTTCCTTTGGTCCCCAGAGGATCTAGAAGCGGGCGGAGTCCTGGCCACATCCTGCTCCAAGGATCCTGCTCAGTGTTCTCGAGCCTGGGCTTCACCCTTGAGGTTCCTCTTCCCAACGGATCCTCTTGAGGAAGAGATGGAAGCCCGAGGCGAGGGGGAAAGTCACACGCCAGGTGGACAGTCACACCAGGGAGGTGGTACACCCACTGGCTCCTTAGGACACGCCGCCACGGGAGCTCAGCAGGGCCGTGTTTGTCCAGGAAGAAAGCTCAGCGGGCAGGCATGGATAAGAAAGAAGGACAGATGGACACAGAGAGCCCAGGGAAGAAGTGGGGAGAGCTCTGTGACGTTGCCATCACTGTCACGGGACAAAATGGGTATGACTTGTGGAATGGAAAACCAATTTTGTCCCGGAAACTTTTGTCCAGATCAGCATACTCCATTCCTGCCGACTCACAGCAACCCTATAGGGCAGGGAAGAACTGCCCCTGTGGGTTTCAGACACGAAGTGTTTCACGGGAGTGGAAAGCCCCATCTTTCTCCCGTGGAGCCGCCGGTGGAGTCACACCTCGGACCTTGAACTCAGCAGCCCAGCTCCTGACCACGGCTCCTGACCACGACTCCTGACCACGACACCACCAGGGTGCCTTCAGTCACAATAAACAGCGTGAAAGACCAAGACACTCAGGGCCACTGAGTCAATCTGACCCACAGCGACCCTACAGGACAGAATAGAACTGCCCCTTTGGGAGAAGGACAGAAAGGCTCACCGTCCTTCCACTGAGCAGCCAGTAGGCTCCAGCAGCTGGTCTTGGGGTTAGCAGCCCAACCTGTGACCCCCCCCCTACCCCACCGGGGCACCTAACGCCCCCAAAAGGAACAAAGTCAGGGAGAGACTTCAGCTGGGGTGAGGTCTGTGACGTGAGGCCGTCCTGCCTCTGGGGGACGGGAAGGAACGCTGGGTGCCTCCTGTGGGCTCGCTGCCCATGAGCCTGTCTGTTTTGTCCCCCAGCTTCCTGGGCGAGCTGACCTCCAGGTAAGACGCTCCCCTTCGCGCCTCCCTTTGGTTCCGGATATCCAGGCAGTGAGCTGGGGTCTGAGCACGACGCCGGTGGACTCTGGTTTGGGGGCAGCTGGATTCAGAGGGACGGAGAGCTGTGAGGCTGGGTGCTTGTGTGAGATCGTAGCTGGGCCTACACCGGACAAGGACACACACACACGACTTGCACCTTGCAGCTGCCTTTAGGCTTATTTTTCGCACCATGGCAAAACACACCTACCATCACATTTTCCATTTTAACTATTTTAAAATGTACGATTCAGTGGCCCTGAGTACTTTCGAAATATTGTGTAGCCCTCACTACTGTCTAGCTCCCCAAACTTCTCATCACCACCAAAAGAAACCACCTGCCCAGTTAAGCAGCCCCTCCCCGTCCCCTTTCCCATCAGCCTCTGCCAACCATCAACCTACTGTCCATCTCCGGAAACTCGCTGACGGTGGGCATTTCATGGATGTGGTCCATGAAATGGACCCTTTTGTGACCGAGTTCCCTTTCACGGCTGAATGATAATTCCACGGCATGGGTGGACCATATCTCGTGCATCCGTTTACCTATGGAGCGACACTGGGGTGGTTCTCACCACTGGCTACTGTGAGGGGTGATGGCTGCCTTTTCGATCATGCATAAAGAGGGAGCAGGTGAGGGGGTATCTGAGACAGACACCCACCTTCCACAGCCCTGAAGCCCAACCCCTGTTCTCTCTTGTCCTCACCTGTAACTGCAGGTGGGCCTTTATCTTTAGACCCCTTCTGCACCTGACTCGGACAGAGAGGCTTCATTGTAAAGAAATGAGCTTAGACCCAAGAGGTGACCCCCTGGGCAGGAGGCCCGGGTGCAGTGAAGTGTCACCACCTTCCCACTCATCTCCCCAGCCCCACCCCCAACACCGTTTCCATCTGCTCCATCAGCATTTCCCTTCTGCCCCGCCCCTCCCCCTCTTCCTTCTTCCGGACAAATTCCCAGGTGCCCCAAAGCCCTTTGCCTTTGTCATCCTCAGGACTTCCCTTCGGTCTGCTCCTTAGCAGGTCACCAGGGCGGGCAGCCCTGGCCTGGAACGTGCCAGCCCCACAGAGAAAAGATGGCCTGCTTTACTGTGGGTGGGTGGTGGGGGAAATTTTTGTGTCAACTCTTCTCTCTCCTGGTCCTCACCTCTGCTGTCCCCACAATGTCCTCTCACGGTCCCAAGCAGCCAAGAGTCAGGAGGGTGGGGCAGTGGTAGACTTTGACGTCCCGGTGCAGTCAGGTCTGATTCCCGCCTGTGCCCCTGGTGCACTCTCAGGCGGTACTCTGGCCTGTTGCTCGGGTTCCAGCAGAGCTTCCAAACGAAGGCAGGGTAGAAAGAGAGGCCTGGAAACCTCCTTCCAAAACTCAGCCCTTGAAACCCTCTAACCCCCATGGCGTGAGCCACCGGGGCACGAGGAAGGTGCAGGATGGGACAGCGTGGGGCCCAGGCCTCAGGGTGGCTGAAATGTAGCGCCTGGTCACACTCCAGGGAGAGCCTTAGAGCTCTCCTCAACCGCTTCCTGACAGCGGGACTTGTAAAACACAAAAACAAAGGCAGTTTTATTGGCCCATAATCCACATTATCATATAACTCAGTCGTTCAATCATATCAAGAAGAGTTGGACAGTCATCGCCAGAATCAATTTTAGAACATTTTCTTCTTTCTTTCTTTTTGGTGCTGAAATCCGGGAGCGATTTTCTTCTTTCTGGTACTTATTGCTACCTACTCCCTACCCACCCACCTCCACCACCCCCCGTCCCCCCACTACCAGCACCCTCACCTCCCCTGTCATCCCCGAAAGGAGCCTTTAATCCAGTAAATCTCCATAGATTTCAGTAAATCTCCATAGATTTACCTGCCCTGGATTTCTTATACAGAAAAAAAATTTTTTTGGAAAGCAAACACAAAATACAAACTAACAACAATAATAAAGTAAAACAGAGAAAGACTTCAACCTAAAGACAGCAGAAAAGTATTAAAAACTAGACCAGATTTAAAGGGAGTCCAAAGGGAGATCAAATGATGAGGTGCAACATCATTGACCTAGCCACACCTGCCATGATCCACTTCCCAGTGCAGCCTGCGGGACAAGGCTGCTCCATCCCTGGTCCGTGGTCAGAAGGGCTCACCGGAGGCTTCGTCCACGTGCATTTCCCCTGGGGGTTGTGCCTGTCGGTAGTTTTGTTGTTTTTTATTCCCCTGAAGTCTCACTCAGCTTCAGCCTGAGAATCACTGAGGCCGCGCTCTTCACGGTGCCTTTCAGAACTGTACGTGGGTGATGTGATGTGTGGGCGTGTGGTGTTGTGTGTGCATGCCTGGTGTGTGCGTGGCGTGTGTGCCTGTGCCCACCTCTCTCATAGTCTGCCTTCTTCATTTCACAGTGAGGTGGCCACTGAGGTGCCGTTCCGCCTCATGCACCCCCAGCCGGGGGACCCAGGTCAGTCGCCCAGCGTCCTGCCTTTCTCTCAGCTCTCGCCGTTTGTGCTCACGGGTCCTCATCTTTCCCAAGCACCTCTCTGACGGATGGCCAGGTGTCCACAATGCCACTTTGTCCCCAAGGTCACAGGCAGCCCCAGAAAGGAGAGCAGGCATGAGTCCTGCTGACCCAGGCAGCTGGTGGGGAAGGGAGAGTGGGGGCGGGAGAGCCCTGCGCATGGACCAGGGACATTCCTGTTAGGTTTGAGTGCTACCAGCATGCTGAAACCAATACTTATTGATTATATACTGGTGATTGGAATTTGAAAGGTGGAAACCAGAAGGTCATTTGTCATCTTGGAGAATATGGCCTTGTTGAAAGAAATGAAGCCAGCGAGCACATGGTAGAATTTTGTACGACTAACGACGTATTTATGGCTAGGACCCCTTTTCACCCACACAGGGATCTTGCCAGAGGGAATACATAGGAAACAAATCTACTCTGTCTGGGGGAAGAGACCATAGAGAGGTGCCATGCCATTAGTCAGAACAGAGCCAGGGCCCGGCTGTGGACCAGACCATCAATTGCTCACATGCAAGTTCAAGGGAAGCTGGAGAAAATGGAAACACTCCATGGGAGCCAGAATATGACCGTGAGCATTTCCCACCTGAATTTTGAGACTGACTCAAGAGCAGGTTTGAACACTTAAATCCGAAGACCAGACACGTTGGGGGTTGGCCCCAGGACGTCATACTTGCAGAAAACAAAAAGTCCGTAAAAAAAAGAGCAATGTGGGTGTCAGCAGGGACTCTGAGATAAGCTTGCCACTGGAGCGCTAGCGAGAAGGAAGCCACGGAGCACGAGAGGTGAGCAGAAGACCTCAGAGAGAGCCACACGAAGCATTAGGGTGAGATGTGCAAAGGCACGGAAATTAGCCACCGGGGAGAACATGCTTAGGGTTTCTCAGGCTGGCAGAACTGAAGTAAGAATTCAAGGCCAGAGCTGTGATTTTGAAGAATGCTATGAGTCAGAGATTGAATGATGCAGGAAGCACCATGGGAAGATGGAAGAAATACGCAGTCACAGAACCAAAAAGAATCGATGGATGTCCAGCCATCTCAGGAGGAAGCGTGTGGTCAAGAGCTGACGGTACTGAGAGGAGACTGTTCGGCTGTACTGACAGCCTTGGGGCCGAAGAAGGCTTCCGAATTGGTGAAATACCAGTCGCGCTGTTCCAACAAATGATTGCAAAGCTGGAAGCACTTACTCATCTATGCCAAGAGATTTTGCAAAGAGCTACCTGGCCAATCGGCTGGAAAAAACATCCATACCTGTGGCTCGTCCAAAGAAAGGTGATCCAATAGCACGTGGAGACAACGGAATCATCCGCACTGAGTGATCTCACTGTCACGCACAAATACAACTTCCCCGAGGTTAATGCAAAACGTGGTTGATCAGCAAGGACTCCATTTGGTGGCGGTGAGTGTGCTTGTTGGCGCATCTTGGTTTAGGGCTTATCGTAAGGAGCCCTGGTGGTGCAGTGATTAAGCACTGGGCTGCTACCCCAACAGCCAGTGGTTCGAATCCACCAGCCCCTCCATGGGAAAAAGCTGAGGCAGCCTGCTTCTGTGAGGGTGACGCGTGGGAGATCGTGGGGAGCAGTTCTGCCCGCCCGTCCTGCCCTGTGGGGTGGCCCTAAGTTGGCATGAACTCACCAGCTTGGGCTTTGTTATTGTGAGATGCCTTCCAGTCGGTTCTGACTCACAGGAAACACCCCCAGTCCTGCCCCATCCTCGCCATTGTCCTTAAGTGTGAGCTTAGGGTTGTAGCCCCTGTGTCACTCTATCTCACGGAGGGTCTCCCTCTTCTCCACTGCTCCATCCACTTGACCAAGCACAATGTCCTTCACATGGTCTGGCCTCTCCTGGTAACATGTCCAAAGTCCTGGAGAGGAAGTCTCGCCATCCTCGCCTCTAAGGAGCATTCAATTGGCTGTACTTCTTCCAAGACAGATCCATCTGTTCTTCACGGTACTTTCTCATCTCTCCACCAGCACCCTAGTTCAAATGCACCAGCTGTTCTTCCGGCTTCCTTACCCACTGTCCAACGGTCACATGCCTCGGAGGCGATTGAAAACATCGTGGCCAGGGTCAGGCGCACCTTAGCCCTCAGTTACATCCTTGCTCTTCAACACTTCAAAGGGGTCTCCTGCAGGAGAGGGACCCAATGCAATGCGTCCCTTGATCTCTTGACTGCCGCTTCTGTGAGCGTTGATGGTGGATCCCAGCAAGATGAAATCCTTGCCGCCTACCATCATGATGTTAGGCTGGGGGGGG